TTTTTACAGGTGTATTTTTAATTCTTGACCGTCGTATCTTTAATCCTGGTTTTGCAGAAAGATCTTGTTATATATGAAATGAATGTCCGTGCTTTTACAGCCGATGAATCTAGTGGGCTGGATTCCAAAATACGTGGTAGTTACCTTGGTGTTATAGAAAAGGTGATATTTACTGAGTGACAAGATTTTACGTTGGCCTTAAGAAGGTTTCCTTTGTCTTTTCCTTTTTAAACTTTTGCGTATACTACTGCAGTTTCGTTTTTATTTTGGATTTCCCTAGTTAGAAATGTGTAAGCAGGATGATTGTCTTGTATAAATTAGTCTCTCCGAAGCTCTATTATTCTAGTCTCTTCTGTCAAGCGTCAGCATTGTTGCCAAGTGCTATACCTCTTGGAAAATATGTAAAAATTTATTCTATCTTTTAAATTGTTTGACATTCCTTTCCCTATGAAGATACCACATCTTTTGGAGCTTGGCATCAATGCAGTGGAATTGCTGCCGGTCTTTGAATTTGATGAATTGGAGTTACAAAGGCGCCCAAACCCCAGGGATCATATGGTTAGTTAAATTATTGATGCCAACAGTGTGATATTTGCATGAAGATTACTGTCTGTTTTTCCATATATTTTTGGGGATTCCCACCTCCGCATTTGTGCACTAGCATGTGAACATGAGCATGTGTGTTGGTAGTTGAGATTTCTGCAATATTTGTGGTGAATGCATGGGTGGCGAGTGGTGTTGAAGACTTTGGAGCTTTTGTCAGTTGATGGGTTGGTGGATGACGGGGTTGCATCTTGCGTACTGCTTTTGGGTTCATTTTAGGGGAATGCACAGCTCCTTGTGATATTATGGAGTTTCAAAAAGATCCTACAGAAATATTTGGCTGTTTTGAGTAAGTAAGAGTTGTTAGATAACTTCAGTCAGTTATAGGATTCAATGAGCTAGAGATTAGATTTTATGTTATTGTTATATTTTTAAATTTAAAGTAGTTTCCCCTTTTTGTGGAGATTGCTATCTATTGGAGAGTCTCCTAGCCCTAGTCCTGTACTGCTCTATACATGCATTTGTGATTTACGAAATCAATATAGAGTAATATCATTTCTATTCCGTTGTGACTTTTGCCACTGAAAGAGAAGTACTTAAAACTAATAAGCACTAGATAATTTGAATAACCAATCTCCTGCACTAGATGTGCACATAATGCAAAAAGTCCTTTAATATCTTGGCAGAAAATTCTGTAAATGAAATAATCATTATATTACTGTTATAAAAATGGGAAATATAAAAAGTAGTAGTAACTGAGGCGGACTACCACTAACTAGTTACTGTTGTACATATGTTTTTGTTTCTTGATTTTATATTTGCGAGAGGTCTATGGTTGCTTGGCATATTTGTTCTTGGGTAGCCTATTCTCAAGTACCAAAATTGCATTTTCAAATCTTAGAGCTGCTTCATGGTACATTTTCAAATTTATGATCTGTACTGAATAAATGAGCTCCTCATACTGGGGTAGTACTACCTAAAAAGAGCATCTAATATGATTATCTGTAACTATGTATTGATTGCAAAGCAAAAGTGTTGGTCATACTGTATGTTTGATGAGCATAGTTTTCTTCGATGGCATTATTTTGTGCCACTAGTCTCTACTGATATATTGATGTGGGATTCTTGGGACTCCAATTGTATGAAGATCAATACGTGGGGTTATTCAACAATAAATTTCTTTGCTCCTATGAGTCGTTATGCAAGTAATGGAGGAGGACCTTCCAATGCTTCTAGAGAGTTCAAAGAAATGGTTAAAGCTTTGCATGATGCTGGAATTGAGGTATTCTTCTTACCTATTATCACTTGCAGGTTGAAAGCTTATTTGTTTCCGTCGACAGCTTGTAATTCTTCATACTGATTATGTATATAATCCTCGTTGTTGTATGGTTTTATTTTCCCCAGGTCATTTTGGATGTTGTCTATAACCATACGAATGAGGCTGATGATGAGAATCCTTACACTACATCATTTCGTGGCATAGATAACAAGGTGATTGCTTAATCATATACTATATTAAATAAATTTCCCAGTTACTGTATCATGACTTGACACTGTTACTTCTTTTTTGATATTAC